GTATGCATATTGTATATTTGAAGTGGTTGATGGCCTGTCACCACTCATATAATGCAGTTAGAAAAAATACAATTCTGTCGCGATGTGCACGCAATCGTGAGTGCGTTCGTTTCCATCGAGGACTGTGTGTGCGCGCGCGAGTGTATGCATACATATGATTTGGTACGCACGGTGACTAATTCCTTTTCTCTGTCGAACTCTCTCCGCTCTCGGTCTATCTCTCCTTCTCTGGCCATTCTATTCTTCTCGCTCTCCCCTCTTCGTCCTCTGCCGCTCTCTATTCGCCACGAATCAACGCTACACCTTTTTAAACCCCTCTCTTTCTGTGGGCCCGAAGCGCGAAAAATATTGGCGCTCACCCAAAACAATAAACTTCGTGGATCTGTCTTGTGACGAGCTGACGCCCTTTTCGCGCGACTTTACCTTTTCTTTTGCGGGGAAAGAAGCTCCGTCGTGGGACCCAGCTCTTTCTTTTCAGATGAGTCGGCTGCGCGCCTTCCGGTCGCTCGAGGTGATTAGGAGAATTTCTTCGGAGCGTACGTGTCCGTCGAAGGAAGTCTTAATTGACTGTTTCGTGCTTTTTCAACGCGGTGTTCCCTTCGTTAAGGTAATACAGACACGATGGATAGATATAATTGGAAAAGTTCAGATATACGTGTAACCATGCTCGAAGGTGAACACCGCTTCCGACTAACCGGAAGTGGGAAAATTCACGACCAGTTCTGATCACATGCTTGACTTACGATGCGTTACGAGTGGAATTGCGTATCTGCCTTTATAGATGCATTGGAATAATATTTATAATAATGTAATATTCTTTTATTCACTTTTCGACTGTTACTTGTAAACTTTGTTTAATAAAGGTCGAACCTGATTATCCGAAAATTATACTAAATTATCGATTTACAAAATAAGTATTTAGTAATTATTTAAAAAGTAAAAGTTTGAAATTAATTGTGAGATACAGTAATTACATGAAAGTAACTCCATACAGTAAGTTCGTAAAAATTGTTTTTAATAGTTAAATAAGCAGACACGCTAATTTCAAATACATTTAATTTATGCCAATTACATATTTCCATTTTATCGAACTCTAGTAAAAATAAGAAAAATTGGTGCATGCAAAACATGATTGTGGAATATTATTAAAATTCTATTATTCAAATTTATACCTGAACAGCTTTTTTAATAAATAAATTATTCCGAAATGAAGAAACTGTAAAAGCAAAAACTAATTATATATTTGGAATAATGAAGCTAATTAATCATTGCGAAAATTATTCGATCAAATACATTATTTTTTTTTGAAGAAACGCAATGTATCTGAAGTTTCATTAAAAAAAAACGACGCTTCATGTGCGTCGAACTAATAAAATTATTTTCCCCGTTTTTACCGCGTTACACAAATATAGTCCAATAATCCGGCGCTGCTTAAGTTCTAAGTATGCCAGATAATCGAAATTTTACTGTATTACATTTTAACCCTTTGCCTTATTATGACTCGTCACACTCGTAGTGCAGATTATGGTTAAAATGTGGCAAAAGAAGGATTGTATTACTAATCAATTTACATTTTAGCTCCAACTTCAATTTCAATTTAACACATTGCTGACCGGCAATTTTACGCAGAAGCTATCTCACGTCACCGGCTATTATTTCGTAATTGAACGTGGAAGTGAAATAATCTAAATAAACGTCAATAAACTTTATTTATACATAATGAATTGAAATGAAACTTTGGACGTATGTATCTTTTATATAACTTTTAACAACAAAGGCGAAAATATATACAATAGAAATACATGCTGACAAATTCCAAGGGTTGGGCGGCAGGTATACCCATCGAGGACTAAACAAGTAGAATTGTGATGAAAACCTAAATAGCAAGAAAAGTACTTTTTTTAGAATAAAGCGGTTATGACTAAACACGATGAACAAAGCTTTTGCGACATTCTATATTGCCCTGCGTTTCAAAAATTGAAATAGCTAATGCAAGTGTAAACACGAGTTAACTCGTGACCGGTCAACAACGTTTGGGCATGAAAACACGAGTTAACTCGTGACCGGTCAACAATGTGTTAAGTCTGAGAGGATTACCAAATGCAAATTGCATATGACATTTTAACTATCCTTAGTTTGACCACTGTATTAAAACAGCGAATAGTCGAAACTAACATGCGTAGGAATTCTAGAAATCGTAAAGCAAAGGATTAATTATTTCGAATCAATTCTTTTCCACTATATTGATGTAGGAACCTAGGGAAAAATATTGAGGGACTTAAAACGGGAATCGAACCCGGGACCTTCGGCTTAGCAAGCCGAGGCTTTGCGCACTACGCCAACTACCCCCTCTGTATTCTCACGTGTCGGTTTCCTATTTGCGTATGGAGGTCCCGATACTACACTCGGCCATCCTGAACTGACATTCGCCCTCGAATGTCCTCAGTGCAACACAACTCAACTCAACACTTTCGGGTACACTCCCCCCAGGCAGTGGCACTCTCAGCCGAAACACTGTTTCTCAACTCTTTTTGGGAGACGTGCACCATCCCTCACATGTTTTCATCTCACAGCGTCTGGCTTCGTATAGCCGTAGATGCCTCCATCCCGGACGAGCCCCCATTTGTAGGAACCTAGGGAAAAATATTGAGGGACCCAAACGGGAATCGAACCCGGGACCTTCGGCTTAGCAAGCCGAGGCTTTGCGCACTGCGCCAACTACTCCCACTGTATTCCCCCGTGTCGGTTTCCTATTTGGGTATGGAGGCCCAGCGATACTACATTGATTTCACCCAAATTTCACCGTTGACCCAACTTTAACCGTTTCACTACTATTGGCGCCTATAGGCGCTTTGAAAATTTGTTCGTATCGTGTTATTGGAGCCTTTTGGCGCACTTCTATGTTAATTTGATCCTCTGCACTCTTCCACGTTAATTCAGTGAAACAAATTTTAAAATGACACGGCGAAAAAAGAAAGTTAGCGGCCGTTGTGGAATATTTGAATTTGCCACGCGCGTTGCGTACTAAAATTTGCCGTAGCCAAAGGGTTAAATGTCTCTTATCACAACTCTCCTCTCCTTATATTATAAACGTGTTTATTCTTTTAATCATACTATATCTGTCCAATCTTAAATAATCCAATGCCTAGTAAAATAACAAGAAGAAAAAATCGTTTCGCTTGCGCACGAATAAGATTTTAGTATTGGGTCATATTTGACCCAGCATCCGTCATGCGTGCGACTATCACGCCATCTGCTGTTCGAGGATTAATTGTACCCGTTCATTTTCCGATTCCGCGGAATCCAGCGAAATCAATCGCTCTTAAGTATGTAGAGGCTGTTTGATCGTAATGTTCCTGGTACTACAATATGTAGCACACCTGCGATTGAAACGAATGGTCGGCCTTATAAATCATCGTTCCGAAGGCAGAACGATAAAACTATGCACAGCCTGTAGACAGGGGACCATGTAGGCCTCGCGTGCGGTGCAGTTAATAAACGTAAGTGTGCCTACATGGTTGCAATAGGCCGGGAGATAACGTTTCGGTATTGGCTGACGTGCGGACGCGTGATGAAACTGCGAATGAACGTGTGCTCTTTTCGCGGATGGTAATGACGTGAATTTATGGACGTCTTATGAATAGGCAACCAATTTCGGCACTTGTCGCACGCATGTCGCTGTGATACGAATTTCATTTACGATGTAGTAGATAGAATCGATTATGTTACAACGTACTTTTATTTCATTTAGAATTATTACTTTTGCAACAGAAAACCAGGTAGATTGATAATTGAACATTTTATCAGAAATGAAGGTTACAATTCGGCCAAATTATGCAGAAACCTACCTATCCTGAAAATGATAAAAAATTAATTAAACACAGTACGGATCCCAGAATTTCGTAATCTTTATTTTGCAGAAAATTACCAACGCATAGAACAACTCTTACATTGTACAATTATTAAAGCTGCCAAGCATAAAAGAAACTATAGAAAATTTAAAATAATATTAATTATACTACTCACTGTTAAATAAGCCGTTAAAAATATTGTGAAACAACAAGAAGTAAATTATATCCAATAGAATTAAAACTACTTTTTTTTTTTTTAATTAAAATCTTCAAATTAAATTTACTCAATTTCAGATCGTTGAGAATTGGTAGCTTTCTGCATAACTTAGCCCAATTAAGGTTTATTTCTACTTACAGTATACGATTAAATTAAACAATTTACGTAGATTCTCGGTTATTGGAACGATCATTCTTATCCTTTTTTGCACTTTATATATTTTCACAATTGGTAACGTGGACCGGATGGATAATGTATTTTAGACAGAAAATAATACATAAGGTAATTTGTTTTTCAATCTATCAATAGATGTAGATCGCGATGGCTGGTGTAAACAAATAAAATGTAAACTTTTCGCAAACACGCAAGTGAGAAATAATAATCAATATTTTTATTTATTACCACGACCTCTTTATGAAATTCCTCTCATTAATGAATAAAAAAGTATTACCTAATGGTTACAATTTGATTACACTTTGATTAGCAACAATAAAAACAGCTGAAATATTTTACTTTTAATACAGTTAATACATCATTTAGTTGTAGCTAACAGTATTACAAGAGTCGCGTAATACTGTTGAATTATAATCAACCTAAATTGATTAACAATAACATTACCATTTATAAAATAGAAGTAATACTGTTACTTCTATGATGTGAATTAATGTAATTTCGGCGTTTCATAATAAAATGCAAATTATTTTTGAAATATTGTACAATTAGTTGTCATGCACCTTTCTCTCTCCTATAAATCTCCTTAATCAATCATTCATCAGCATCCAATAGTTCTCGACCTATTTTTATTTTGTACAATTGGTGATACAGAGATTCACAATCATTACATTATACAGCATTCGTAATAACATTATTTTGACTTTTTCTGATTAATAAAATTCGAAAACATTTTACGACGATGTATTATTTCTGTGCAGATCTACGCAGATTGGGCGAATTATTACCTCGAGAGAAGTGGTTGCAAAAGAAGAGTGACGGATCTACAATCGGACCTCTGCGACGGTGTTCTTCTTGCTGACCTCGTCGAGGCAGTCAGTGAGTGTATTGTCATTTCTTTTCTACATATAAATTATCTCACGAGCAAAAAAATCATTTAACGAGAATATACAGAATATACCATTAAACCGAAAATAAGGAATGAAATTTTTCTATAAGAAGCTTAGCTTTCGAGAAAACTGAATTTAAAGATTCCCTGCAAACTGCCCCTTCTGGTCACACTTTTATGTTGACAAATAGAAGTAAGGTCACATTTCGCAAGGAAGTAGTGTAAATCTTCCGGAGATCAAAGAAAGAATTATACAGGCTTTCGAACAATTAAAGCGTCGAAACACACTGGCATCAGTCCACGACTCTCTGATTCGAAGAGCAAGAATTTGTATGCGTCAACAAGGACGTCACTTTCAACAGTTCATTCAGTAATGTACGGCAATAAAATGGTTAATGAACGTATTATTAGTACTTATCGTGACATTGACGCTGCTTATTAGTACAAACGTGAAGTCCGGATGTAGTCAAGTGCGCGCGTACTTGATAGATATTCAAATTCGATTTTCTTCAAAGCGAGACTTCAGGCGAAACAATTTTATTCTTTGTCTTCGGTACATTTTTATGTAATACCTGCTCGATTGTACTTCAATTGTAATAACATTTTCTATTAAATACTAGGTCATCCCGTAAGTTCGTGCCGGATTTTATAATTTAGATCAATATTTCCAACAAACCTTTACATTCGATTTAAAAAACGAACAAAATACCAAAACTTTTTGGCAAAATCATTATGTCATCGCTATAGAAGTTTCTTGGATTTTCATTGAAATACTTTTGCTTTCGGCACCAACTTATGGGATGTCCTCTGATACTATTCAGACACGTTTAAATACAAAACTGACTGCTGTCGTGTCACGAAGTTTAAAAGTAGTGTTAGTAATATAAATTGAGATTAAAATTCTTGCATGAATGAACGTTTCGGAGTGAATGGAGTAGGTGTCAATAATAAAGTGACAAGTAGCAGAACTCAATGGCCGAATCGTTTATGGTATTGGACAGTTACCCATAACACATAAATCGTCAGTAATGTCGTTAGTTCGTGGGGTAACGTGATCACGTGTGCATGCTATATGTGATGTGCTTGGACAAATTCGGGATTTGGTATCCGTTAGCCATCGAAAGGATATCTTTGCATTAATTATCGCCCGTTTATCGTTACAGCCAACCAGAAGGTGATTGACGTCAATAGAAAGCCGAGGAACGCTCAACAAATGGTGAGTTTTCGTTCGAAAATTCTTTTCTTTAAATTTCAAAATGTTAATGTAATATTTAAGAAAAAAGGGACAAATGTGCTGGTGATTATGGTCTATAAGTAAAAAATCTAAAACAATTGAATTTATCACTTATTTTGCGTTACGTCGATCTTTTCACAGAAAAGATTTGTATTACAAGAGCAAGCATTTTGTGAAATATTTGATTAGATAATCGTCAATCGTCCAACGTTGAACCACTTGCTCTACCGTTTCAAAATCAGTTACTCGAGTTTAGTTTGGCGGGTAACCGTCGCGATTGAGAGTTCATCACCGGAATGCGACACAATTAGGGCGATGTTAATTTCTGCTAATTACACAAACGGCGAAAGTATATACATGTAAACTGTCCACTTACATCGAATAAAATTCACATGAGATTCAGCAACGAGCGTAATGTTCGTTTCTGGCACGGAAATTTCTTACAACAGAAGATGCCCTAAGGATGTGAAACTAACCATACAGTATTTATCGCCGGGACAGTAATTTTCACGTAACGACGCGTCGTTCACTTGGTGTATAGGCATGCTTCTTCCTGAATTATCATTTGCGTGTGAGTATTTATGTATGTATAACAGTCGCGATAGAGAGTTTGTCATCGGAACACTATTCAACTGACGATAAAATCGCACCGATTTTTTCACAAAGGTCATGAAAATGTAAAATTAAAAATGCTACCAAAAGCTGGCCTGACCTTGAGAGATGGACAAAGGCGGAAGGAAGGAAGGAAGAAAAATGAGGGAAAGAAAATGACAAAACCGTCTGCTGAAAAATAATTATCTTTATTATAGAAAAATAAATTAAAATAAATGA